TATGCTGAAAAGGTGTTGTTTCATCAAGAGTTGCAAACTTATGAAACAACAAATGCATGACCTATAAATACATTATTCAAAATTCGAAAATTATACTATCAAATTATACATCCTCTCTATAATTCTATAAACTCTTCCTTGCATTCGAATTCATCACCAGTCTTGTGCATAATCGTTTAAAGGCTTAATTATCTTGGGTATTCTTGCTTTCCAAACTCTAAGACTAAAAAAAGAGTGCTTGAAATACTCTTAAGCAAAGTGAATCCATTCACAATTCAGACATGGATCCATTTAATCTTACCAAAATTTCTAACAGTTTTAACAATATTACAATAGTTGTTGCCGACGCTACAATTTCAAGCATCAAAGTTATGAACCAGGACCTTGTCAAGTTGGATCGATTTGATAGAACCAACTTCACCCATTGGCAAAATAAGATGATATTCCTTCTGATTGTCCTGAAGGTTCACTATGTCTTATATCCTTCCTTAACACCAATTCCTGAACCAAATTAAGGATAAATCTGAAGCACTCAAGAAGTGTAAAAAACATAATGAGGACGAATTGTTATATCATGGACATATTCTGAATACGTTGTCTGATCGTCTATACGACTTCTATATGGATACTCTATTTACAACCAAAATCTGGAAAGCACTCAAGTTTAAATTCAAGGCCGAAGAAGAAGGTACGAAGAAGTTTTTAATTTCTAAATATTTTGATTTTAAATTTATAGACTCCAAGCCCATTCTTCCATAAGTGCATGAGTTACAATTCCTTGTGAATAAAATAAAAGCTGTGAAAATAGACATTCTTGAGACCTTTCAAGTTGGTGCAATCATTGCAAAATTACCACCTTTGTGGAAAGGCTATAGAAAGAAATTGATGCACAGTTCTGAGGAATTCTCTCTGGAGAAAATCCAGATACATCTTCGAATCGAGGAGGAATATAAGGAATAGGAGAAATCGGAATTTGCTGAACTTTCCAAGTCCAATTTTGTTTCCGCTAAAGTAAAAAAGGAAACGTGATGACATGAAGAATCATCTCGGCCCAAATAAATAACATAACAAGTTCATGAAATCTAGAGGTCCTAAAGGTCCAAAAATAGGATGTTACATGTGCAGTAAACCTGGACATTATGTTTGAGATTGTAGGCACGACAAGTCTAAAAATGAGATCAATGCAGTTCATGTAGATGATGACATAATCACTACAGTGAGAGAAATAATGGAAATCAAATGCAAGTCCACATGTGCTACCGTGCACGTCTGTTATGACAAGGCTATTTTCAAAACCTATAAAGAGGCAATGATGGATAGGAAGTACAAATGGGAAATGAAGTACGATAAAAAGTTGTTGGAACTAGATCCGTCGAACTCAACTTCACTTCCAGAAAGGAAGTCACCCTTGTCAATGTGCTTCATGTCCCCGACATGAATAGGAATCTTGTTAGTAGTTTGTTGGGAAAACCGGGTATTAAATCTATATATGAAACAGGAAAACTTATATTAAACCATAATGGTGTATTTGTTGGAAAAGGATATTTCGCTAAAGGAATGATCAAACTCTATACTACCAACAATATTATTAATGAAATTTCTAATTCTTCTTACATGCTTGAGTCTGTTTCTTTATAGCATAATAGATTAGCACATACCAATATTAGTTCTATGAAGAAACTAATTAAATCTGGATTGATCTCATATGATATAAATGATTTCAAAAAATGTTAATTATGTGTTAAATATAACATGATTAAGAAACCTTTCAAAAGTGTCAAAAGCAATACAAATCTACTTGATTTTGTACATTCAGATTTATGTGAATTTAACGGAATATTAACCAGTGGGAGAAATACATATTTCATTACATTCATCGATGATACCTCTAAATGCACACATGTATATCTTTTAAAGCATAAAGATGATGCTTTTAATGCCTTTAAAATTTACAAATCAGAAGTAAAAATCAATTATGTAAAAGTATAAAAGTCCTTAGGAGTGATAGGGGTGGTGAATACTTTTCTAATGAATTTGATGAATTTTGTGAAGAACATTGCATAATACATGAATATTCTGCACCTCGCACACCACAACAAAATGGCAAGGCTGAAAGAAAGAATTAAACATAACAATATACGAGGAATTCCATGTTGATGCATTCTAAATTACCATTCAATTTGTGGGGTGAGGCCCTACTATCCGCTTGCCACATAATTAACATAATTCATTTAAAGAAAACCAATATTTCTCCATATGAGGCATGTAAAGGTAGAGAGCCAAATATCAGTTACTTTAGAGTGTGGGGGTGTGTAGCCTATTATAAAAAATGGATCCTAAAAGATCTAAAATGGGTCTTCGAGGGATACAATGTGTCTTTGTAGGATATACACAAAATAGTAAAGCATGTAGACTTTTAAACTTAGATTCTAATGTAATTGTAGAATCCCGAGATGTGAAATTCTTTGAAAATCTTATGACTAAGGATAAGGAATCTGAGTCGGCCTCAAATAAAGAATCTTGTGAATAAGTTTCTTCTAGAATTGTAGAAATACAACCTGAAAGTACTTCTTAGATAATCGAAACACAACTCGAGCCTAGGATAAGCAAGAGAGTCATGAAAACAAATAATCTAGGACCAAACAAAATTAATCTTCGACTTATTTCCTTTTATCTAGTTGAAGGAATTCTAAGGATTTTGTTCGAATCATTCCTATTATTCTTCAAGTAGAGAATGATCCTAAAACCTACAAGGAAGCGGTAGGTTCAAGGGACTTTTCCTTTTGGAAGGATGCTATCCAAGATGAAATGGATTCAATTATGCAAACCACACTTGGAAATTTGTTAATTTACCAAATGGATCAAGGCCCATTAGATCCAAGTGAGAGTTTAAAAGGAAGTATCATAGTAATCATACTTTAAACACTTATAAGGCTAAATTAGTAGCAAAAGGATTTAGACAAAAGGAAGTTGTAGATTACTTAGACACATATGCACCAGTAGCAAGGACAACCACAATTAAATTGTTGTTTTCCTTTGCCTATTTGAATTACCTTATAGTTCACCAAATGGATGTTAAAACAATATTCCTAAATGGAGATCTCGATGAGGAAATTTACATGGAACAACCAGAAGGCTACATGCTTCCTAGAAATGAACAAAAGGTGTATAAGTTTGTCAAATCTTTATATGGATTAAAACAAGCACAAAAAAATGACATTAAAACTTGATTTTGTCATACTTTCAAATGGATTTATTCCCAATTTTTGTGACAAGTGTTTATACACAAAGATGTGCAAAAACATTGTAATATTGCTCTATCTCTATGTTGATGACATATTAATAATTAGAAATGATCTGAATGGAATTTTAGAGACAAATAGGTTTCCAACTTCCACTTTCAAGATGAAAGATCTTGGACTTATTGACACAATTTTAGAGATCAAAGTAAATCAAAATAGTGGGGGTTATGAACTTAGTCAAACAGACTATATTGAGAAAATGTTTGATAAGTTCAAACACCTAAACTTTAAAGAAGTGACCACTCTATTTGATCATGTCGTCAAACTTTAAAAGAACAATGGAATAGCAGTGGCTCAATTAGAATGTGCAAGTGCAATAGGGTGTCTTATGTATTTAATGCAATGTACTGAACTCGATATATCATTTGCATTTAGTAAAATGAGTAGATTTACTAGTAATCCAAATAATGAACATTAGAAGATAATCACAAGAAATTTTGAATATCTACTAAAAACCAAAAAAGTTGGCCTTTATTATGACAGGTTTCGTGCCATATGAGGAGGATATACCGATGCGAGTTGGATATCTAACATTGGAGATCACAAATCTACAATTGGGTGGATATTAACAATAGCTGGAGGAGTAGTTTCTTGGAAGAGCAAGAAACAAACATGGATTACTCTTTCTACCATTGAGTCAGAGTTTGTGGCTTTTGCTTCTGCTGTTCAAGAAACATAATGGTTAAGGAACCTTATGTTGGAAGTTCCATTGGCTAAAGACAATGTTTCAAAGGTGATGATACACTGCGATAGCCAAGTCACTTTAGCTCGAGCATTCAGCAAAGTGTATAATAGAAAGTTTAGACATATAGGGCTTAGACATTCGTTCGTGAGAAAATTGATTAAGGATGAAATCATTTCACCCACCTACATATGAACAAGATATAATTTGGTTGATCCATTTACTAAGCCTCTGGCCAGAGACTTAATAAAAACAACCTCGAGAGGTATGGGTTAAAACTCCTTGAACAAGAGTTCCAATAACAGCGACAATCCAATTTTATGTTAACAGAACATTAGCTTCAAGATTCAATGGGTAATAACAAGTCGTTAATTTGGATGTATGTCGGACACTGGGTAATAATGTTGAATATTTTAAATAGAGGGTTGAGGTTTTCAAAACCTCTTAATGAATTTCAAAACCGATGATAAGTATCTCATGGAAAAAGATACAACATGAACTTCACCTATGTGAATTTTGAGATGGTGTCGTCTCAAAGTGAGAGTTGGAGTTTCTCTCATGAAAAATTCATGAAATAGGATAGCACAAGATCATAAATAAGTAATAAGCGAGATATGTAGAGGAAGAGTCCTTAAAGAGTATGTGTAAGGTAACGTTTGTCTAATCATATGGATTAATGGTTTAAAAGCATTGATACCTGACATTCTGTCATCACTGTTAACTTTTAAATCGAAAGATACCTAAATGTATTAACACTCTTTATACCTCATGTTCTGAAATTAAATTTGTCATTATTAGAACAAGCGGGGGATTGTTGGAAATTATGGATCAATGCTCATAGGTGTGTTCCAATATAATAAAAAATGGGAAGTTGAGTTAATGACAATAAATATATTGCAAATAGTCTCACATAGAAAGTGGTGATTACATTAAAAGCATTTATAAACACTTTGAAACATTAAACTCAATAAAGGAGCCAAAAAGGATAAAGTGTCACATGGACAAATATAGTAGTCTCAAGTATTATGCCACTTGTCACATCCAAAGTTCAAACAGCCCCTCGTCGGTGTCACCATCGATGACACCAACTCCGGGTCTGAGGGCGTGGGTGTAGATGTGCTAGTGGCGGCTTGTAGGCGGCACTTATCCACTTAGGCACAACGCATCAGAATAATCGAGCTATTCGCGACGTTAATGAGACGCCGCCAGTGGCGCTCTTGCCGAGTTATTGCTCCTGTTTTTTTGGTCGTTCCTGAAAGTTTGAATTTCGAATTTGAAATATGCAACACATCATGAAGTGGTGCATAAGGTGACTATAGGCGAACCATTGCAAATTTATGCTGAAAATGTGTTGTTTCATCAAGAATTGCAAACTTATGAAACAACACATACATGTCCTATAAATCACTACAAGAAAAATGATAGATTGGGACGGTTATTTTGGCTGATTACGACGGTTAAAACCGTCGCAATTTACAATCTACGACGGTAGAAGTACCGTCGCAGAATCGTGCGTCCCCAGCCTATTTCGCGACGGTTGCAAAAACTGTCACGCACAACAGTTAGCGACGGTTATATACCGTCGTGAATTTGACTTTATTTTTTGTTTTTGTTGTTGTTTGCGACGGTTATTCTACCGCCGTAGGTTAGAAATTGCGGCGGTTTTAACCGTCGTAATCTGATTTATAAATTTCAAATAATATTTTTATTTAAATTATTATTTAGTAAAATTATTTTAAATATAATATTATTTTACTATAATATTTTACTATTATATTTAAATTATTATTTACTTTAATATTTTTTTATTTATAGTATTTTTATTTTATTTTCTATCACTTTTCAACATAATAAAGTTAATTACAATAAAAACATTTAATATCAAATAATCATCAATAATATCAAAAAAATGTGATCAAAGGTAAAAAGAAGTGCAAATTTTACCAATAAACAAGAAAAATTCAAATATCATCAAAGGCCAAATTTCATTTTAATATTTACATTGGTTTGCTACAACTTGAGAGAATTACAAAAAATGTTACAATATTCTACAAAATTCATGAAATCCTGAACATCAGGTTCCAAGTCCATTTCAAGTATCTGTAGGAGAGAATCATAAATAACTTAGAAAATTGCAAAAATTGTGAAAAAGGTTAAGCCAACTGTTGACCGAAAGGTCAACAAAACATGCCTTACCATCGCCTCTATATCAGAATAATAAGGAATATCATTATCACTTTCGATATATTGCTCTTCCCCGTCTAAGTTTTCAGGAATAACCACCCGCTCTGACCTTAGAACTTCTGTAGATCCCATTTCAGCATGTTGCAATTTATTATCTACAACTGGCAAAGCTACATTTTGTTCCTGTCTCAAGCAAGAACCATTAGGTTGGACATGATCTATGAAACCATTTCCGAGGGATGGGTTCTCATGTGACAGACTTGCCACATTATTGCTTTGATGTTTTACGAAGCTAGCATTGACAAGCTTTTCCTTAGGATTTGCATGTAGAGCAGTATGAGTTTTGTTTGTTAAACTGTTGCTTCGACCTAAGCCACTGGAAGCAATAACTTCACTCCTAGACAGTGTGTTTGATGAATGGTTGTTAGGTAACTCATTTATTTTAGAACCACAAACAGGCCCTGAATTTCCTCGGCTTCCTGTTGTCTGCGAAGGCACATGACTCCTAACTCTTGTTCCTCATCCCACCATGACTCCCAACTCTTGTTTGAAGAAACACCAATACCACCTCGACTACTAATCCATTTATTCCAATCATCCCAGTCCTCAACTATCTTCTGCCATTAAAATCCTGATGGATTGAAAAGGAAAGGAGCAAACAACCAAGAGCTAACCAAAAACCACATTGACCATGACAGAAATGCGTATGCTGCTGAGTCAGTTGTTGCTGATCCATAAATCATATAACAAATGAGCAATATTGTGAGCTCAATCCCTTTGACAAAGTGACTCCTAGAGTACATCCTGTAATTGTCTGCAAACTTTTCATGACGAACGACAAATCCATGCCCAGTTGCTCTGTACTTTGCCCCTCCATGCAGGAGAGTGCGCCCAAAATAGTGCATTTTCGTTCCAAGCGAGAAAGTAAAGAAAACAGGTGCCAGCTGTAACTGCATTATTATTATGCAGGCAAGCACATGAAGATTAAAAAATAAAATGTACATTTTATAATGGTAAAGTAGAAAGAGAAAGAACGTAGGATAGTTACGATTTCCATGGAGTGTGGATCAGAAGAGAGGCCTTCCTCAGAGGCAAGGGAGAGAGCAAGGTCACGAACCCTCCAAACATGCACTGCATCGTGAGAAGCATCATTCCCTTTCATTGCTTTCTCAACCAACGCCTCAGCTTTTCTTACCCTCTCTTTCCTCTCCATCTCCATCCTCTCTCTAGTTCCAGGAACTGCAGTTGCGCACCTCACTCGGCCAATATATTTTCTTCTACTATCTTTGCAAAATAAAAATCTGCACCCTAGTCCATGAAACAATTAGAGCTTTCAATTTATCACACTCAACACCGGCCCAATGTGTTTCAAAGTCGTCAAAAACAAGACCAAAAGCTTGTTTCAAAATGTGTACAGAATAGTGAGGAAAATACAGTTCAGTGACATACTTGAATTCACAGTAAGGTTGTTAGTTTTCCTGAGTATGTCAATGTTTCTCACTCCAGTCAACAATAATGCAACTCTAGTATCCTGAATCAAAATCAAAATCAAAAGTGTCTCAGGATTTTATTCTACTGTAATATATATATATAATAAAGTATAAGTATTAAAATGTAAAGTTAAGGATTCGTTTGTACTTCTGTGTCATAAAGTAACATAAATTATATTTAAACAGATTTTTTTAATCATTATTGATAAAGTAGAGGATTTTATTCTACTGTTATGATATCAAGTGGCATAAATTATATTAAAAATTATAGTTAATGTTGATTTGATATATTAGAATATTATTAAAAAATGTTGTTGAAATAATAGATAATGTATACAATGATATTCTTATACAATATATTATACAAAACATTAAAGTATTTGATTAATTTAAGATTTTCAAAGAATATTGTATAGTTCAAAACATTAAAGTACTTAATTAATTTAAAATTTTCAAAGAATATTGTATAGTTCGGATGTTATGAACACATATAAGTCATAACTTGAGATAGCAATTCAAACTAAATGTCACACAAATGAAATTTAAAATAGATCATCTCCTTTTTCACAAGCATGTCTTTTTGTTCATTTAATTTACTGATTGTCTCTCTGAAAAACATAACAGTTGCATCTTTTAATTTTCTAATTGTATCGTCTCATATATCCACCGCAGTTACAATTGTAACACCGCAACCACAACGATAATAATTACAATTATAATTCTACAACCACAATGCATGTAATGCCGCAACCTCAATTGTAATTTTACAATTGTAATGGAAGCAATCTCTACAAAAATAATTATCACATAAATTATTATAACTTACAACTATCAGAAAAAACAATAATGATTTTATCACAAGATTCAAAGACAAATTTCAAAAACATAAAAAATTGTTCATTTTTACATGATTAAAGTGTGTCAACACCAAAAAAATTATAACATGTTCATTTTGTAACAACAGTGGCCCTTATCAGGTAGTAAAAGCATCAAAACTTTCACATCACCAGCATGAACAATTATATTATATGAATGACCACCATCTCTTATCTGCTCTTTATTAACTGTGATTGTGTAAATCACAGTTAGTAACAACTGAGTCATCCAATTGTAGAGTTTCTTTAGAAAACATAAAATTAAAACCTTATTATGTTTCAATTCGATAGGCAACTTACATAAACATTCAGATAAACAACAAATTCCAAGCAAAACAAGCATAGCAAAAGTGATTTTACCTTACAGACAGCAAACATAAAAGTAGCACCGCAACAGAGCCTACAAAACGCAGATATGGTTAAACTCTAAGCCCATTCAACCACATTTCTTAACACAAATAAAATAAAAGGTCATGTGAAACAAATTGTTAAGTTTAATTCAGTGGAAAACTATAATCAGAATATTTCATGATTAAGAATATGCAGAGAATGAGTTGAAGTTTTAATTAAGTAAGAAAATAGAAAAGATAATGCGTACGGCATAGGAGTGGAACAGAAGGTTGACGGAGAAGCACGCCGGCGCTATGAACGACGGCAGGAACTGCTAGCGGGATTAAGCTTTCGGTGTTGTTCTGTTTGATCTGTGTTTAAGACCTTTTAATTATTGAAAACCACATTCAACTCAAAAAGTAAAATCAGAAGCCATACTGTGTATCTCCAACGTCTTTAACAAGACTATTCTGAGATGAATCACCAGCTTTCTTCAAAGTATCACCGACCATAATTATTCTGGACTTCTCCGCATTACCCTACAATAACAACAACACAAATCACAAACCTTCGTCGGTTTATCAAAATGAACCTCAATGAACCTTCATCGATTTATTACTTGAATATATTAAGAAGCTGCTGATATTCAGAATCCCCCGGAAACAAAGCATGTCTCCTCACCATTTCAGCTGCATAAACAAACAAACAATCAATCAATCAATCAATTACCTTTCCATCATTAATAGAGAAAGAAAAGTATCCAAATCACAAAAACCGTCTTAAGAGATTCACGATATTCTCCCTCATGAAAATAATCCCCAACTCAATTCCATTCAATTTGATTCCTAAAGTCATATTTGGGATGCAATCCAACTCAACCGAAATCATGAAATACTTTAAGGCACCTTAGGTATTATCAATAGCAGATCAAAAATTTTCATTTGAGTTCCGCTACACATCACTGCCGCGAATCCACCTAATTTTACACAAAACCCTAACAATTTGTTCAAATTATACTATGTAGTGCAACAATTCTACTATGAGATCCAAAACCCTAATTATGGTAAATTAGCAGCAACAACAAGAAGAAGTAGAAAAAAGAATTGAAATCGAGAGAATGACGTACCAAAGATACATCCAACAGATGGAGGGAGTGGATGGAGGTTGAAATGAAGAGAAGACATGGTTGTGGTGGAAGCCGGTGATGTCGGGCAACGACGAGAAGAGAAAAAAGGAGAAGCTTTTGGACCTGTTATGTTCTTTTGTTAGAAAATCTTTTAATTTTTTTATATTAATTTAATTTGATAAATATATAAATATATTATATTATTATCACTTTTTTGTAGTGTACGGGGCGACGGTTGTTATACCGTCGTGATGTGTATTTTATGGCGGTTTGTTAACCGTCGCGACATTGATTTTAGGACGGTTTAATAAAAAACTGTCGCAATATTTAATAATTTTTTAAATATATAAGGACGATTGGTGTATACCGTCGTGAAATGTGTCTCTATATTAGAATTACGACGGTTATCAAGTAACTGTCGCAATTTTTGTGTCGTAAAATCCTAATTTAAAAGAGGTGACTATATTGAGAAAATGTTTGATAAGTTCAAACACCTAAACTTTAAAGAAGTGACCACTCTATTTGATCATGTCATCAAACTTTAAAAGAACAATGGAATAGCAGTGGCTCAATTAGAATGTGCAAGTGCAATAGGGTGTCTTATGTATTTAATGCAATGTACTGAACTCGATATATCATTTGCATTTAGTAAAATGAGTAGATTTACTAGTAATCCAAATAATGAACATTAGAAGATAATCACAAGAAATTTTGAATATCTACTAAAAACCAAAAAAGTTGGCCTTTATTATGACAGGTTTCGTGCCATACGAGGAGGATATACCGATGCGAGTTGGATATCTAACATTGGAGATCACAAATCTACAATTGGGTGGATATTAACAATAGCTGGAGGAGTTGTTTCTTGGAAGAGCAAGAAACAAACATGGATTACTCTTTCTACCATTGAGTCAGAGTTTGTGGCTTTTGCTTCTGCTGTTCAAGAAACATAATGGTTAAGGAACCTTATGTTGGAAGTTCCATTGGCTAAAGACAATGTTTCAAAGGTGATGATACACTGCGATAGCCAAGTCACTTTAGCTCGAGCATTCAGCAAAGTGTATAATAGAAAGTTTAGACATATAGGGCTTAGACATTCGTTCGTGAGAAAATTGATTAAGGATGAAATCATTTCACCCACCTACATATGAACAAGATATAATTTGGTTGATCCATTTACTAAGCCTCTGGCCAGAGACTTAATAAAAACAACCTCGAGAGGTATGGGTTAAAACTCCTTGAACAAGAGTTCCAATAACAGCGACAATCCAATTTTATGTTAACAGAACATTAGCTTCAAGATTCAATGGGTAATAACAAGTCGTTAATTTGGATGTATGTCGGACACTGGGTAATAATGTTGAATATTTTAAATAGAGGGTTGAGGTTTTCAAAACCTCTTAATGAATTTCAAAACCGATGATAAGTATCTCATGGAAAAAGATACAACATGAACTTCACCTATGTGAATTTTGAGATGGTGTCGTCTCAAAGTGAGAGTTGGAGTTTCTCTCATGAAAAATTCATGAAATAGGATAGCACAAGATCATAAATAAGTAATAAGCGAGATATGTAGAGGAAGAGTCCTTAAAGAGTATGTGTAAGGTAACGTTTGTCTAATCATATGGATTAATGGTTTAAAAGCATTGATACCTGACATTCTGTCATCACTGTTAACTTTTAAATCGAAAGATACCTAAATGTATTAACACTCTTTATACCTCATGTTCTGAAATTAAATTTGTCATTATTAGAACAAGCGGGGGATTGTTGGAAATTATGGATCAATGCTCATAGGTGTGTTCCAATATAATAAAAATGGGAAGTTGAGTTAATGACAATAAATATATTGCAAATAGTCTCACATAGAAAGTGGTGATTACATTAAAAGCATTTATAAACACTTTGAAACATTAAACTCAATAAAGGAGCCAAAAAGGATAAAGTGTCACATGGACAAATATAGTGGTCTCAAGTATTATGCCACTTGTCACATCCAAAGTTCAAACAGCCCCTCGTCGGTGTCACCATCGACGACACCAACTCCGGGTCTGAGGGCGTGGGTGTAGATGTGCTAGTGGCGGCTTGTAGGCGGCACTTATCCACTTAGGCACAACGCATCAGAATAATCGAGCTATTCGCGACGTTAATGAGACGCCGCCAGTGGCGCTCTTGCCGAGTTATTGCTCCTGTTTTTTTGGTCGTTGCTGAAAGTTTGAATTTCGAATTTGAAATATGCAACACTTCATGAAGTGGTGCATAAGGTGACTATAGGCGAACCATTGCAAATTTATGCTGAAAATGTGTTGTTTCATCAAGAATTACAAACTTATGAAACAACACATGCATATCCTATAAATACATTATTCAGAACTCGAAAATTATACAATCAAATTATGCATCCTCTCTATAATTCCGTATATTCTTCCTTGCATTCGAATTATTCACCAATCTTGTGTAGAATCCATTAAAAGACTGGATTATCCTAAATATTCTTGCTTTCAGAATTTTAAGACTATAAAAGAGAGTATTTAAAAAATCTTTAAAGAAAATGATTTCATTCAAGATTTAGACATAAATCTATTTAATCTTACCGAAATTTGAAACACCTTTTTATACACTCTAGGCTCACCAACACCAAGCATCGTGCTTTCCATCTTCCCATATCTATGTTACAAAGTTCTTCTCCAAATAGTCTCTATGTATTAGGCATCTCCATCTCCATCTCCATTTACACATTAGAAACATGTTAAATGCGTCCACATTTTTTACACTTAAACCTCCCTCCTCCACCACATTTGTGTGTTTTCTTACACTTTATCGTCTTCTTTATAACCAATAACAAATGCTATGCAGAAGGATGTTTTAAAAAAAGTTGATATAAAATTAACATACATCAAATATGCATACTCTTTTTGTTATTTGCTGTATTTGTGTGTGTAAAGAAAGATGCAAGTTGTTTAAACTTAAAGTAAATACATGTATGATACTAAAGAATATATTAAGGTTCCTCATTTTAAATTTGAGGAACGGATGCATGAAACCGGACAAGACAGAAAGAATAACAGCCGCAAAGGTTGACATATGTGAACGTGATCATGCAGCCGAAAGTATTTATTAATAATATTTGTGGGGTCATAGTTTATCTCATTAATAATCGATTTAAATTATTTATTAATTATAGGGATCAAATATTAAAATTATTATTTGTGGAATTAGTGAGAGATTCTTTAAACATGTTTTATTTTACCCAACACAGCCACCTCCACTTTACTTGAAAATTATATATTAGATTCCATTATTGACATGAATAATCTTAGTTTAAAAGAACTAGCATACTCCGTGATAAAAGTATATTAACCCTTGTCATATGAATATATAAGCTTAATCATAAACCAATAACAAATCGTAATAAAAATAACTAATATCGAAAAGTATAAGGAAAAAAAATAATTCGATATAAGTATAAAGTATTTCTAAATAGTGTATCTTATACAAATAATTAAAGTCCATATTTGTAGCACTGATGTCTTTTTATTTAGAATATAAAATAATAATGGTTGGTGTATAAAGGTTGAAGATAAAAATGAATATGGAAGAAGAGAAAAAGAAGAGAGAGAAAGACGACTACAACAAATTTGTCGAGGAAGAAATTCTATATTAAATTTTTATTAAAATTCTAGTTACAAAATTGTTTAAATACACAAAATAAATTGCCACATACTCCCTCGATTCCAAATAATAAGAGAAATTCACTTTTTAGATTTATTGAATAATTAATGTATTTGGTCTATATATAGACCAAATACATTAATTATTCAATGAATCTAAAAAGTGATTTTCTCTTATAATATGGGACATAGGGAGTATGTCTTAACAAAAAATCATGTTTAATAGCTAAGCTAAAAAAATAAACTAGGATCCCAGAAGCTAAACATATTTTTGAAACGCAACCTCAGAAGTTTCTGCTTCTGATCAACACAAATACTTCTGAATATGAATTAATGCTAACACCATCTCTTAATTCATATTCAGTTAACTAAATTCTACAACATCAATTCAATCTCTCAAACGGATAAAATGTTAAATTTTGACACTCTTCGTCAAAACATCTGCAAGTTGCTTTTGAGTGCTACAATACGCAACTTCTAACACTCCATTCTGGACTTGACTTCTCCGAAAATGAAACTTCATGTCAATATATTTGCTTCTCCCATGCAGCACCAGATTCTTGGCAAGGCTTATAGCTTATTTGTTGTCAATCATCAACTTCACATGTTTGCTCACCTTGATCTTCAGATCCTGCAACAAATTTATCAACCAAACAGTTTGACACACAGTCAAAACACCTGTAATATATTCAGTTTCACAAGTTGACAACGCAACCATATGTTGCTTCTTTGAGCACCAAGAAATGAAACTTTCCAGATACTTGAAAAAATATCCAGAAGTACTTCTTCGATAAACTCTATCTCCACGTCAATCAAAGTCTGAATAGAATATCAACTTTGCATCAATTTTAACATCAGAAAGGAACAAAACTCCATACTTCAGAGCCTCTTTAATGTACCTCATAATCTTGACAGCACCTTGGTAATGTGACCACTTCGGTTTGTTCATAAACCTACTCACCATTCCAACAACATAACAAATACCAGGTTTGGTGTTACACATATATCTCAATGAGCCAACCATCTGTTTGAAAGTGGTAGAATCTACATTATCACCCTCAACACCATAATCTAGCTTATGATTCGTCTCAGCATGTGTAATAGCAGTCTTGAAATTCATTAGCTCAAACCTCTTTAGACGTTCAAGTTCATACTTTAGCTGATGCAAAATGATACCCTTCTAAGAGTATAGAATCTCCTTTCCTAGAAAATATACCATATTTTCCATATCAGTCAACTCAAACTCATTCATCAACACCTTCTTGAACTTGACTATCTCTTCTGGACAGGTTCCTGTTAGCAATATGTCATCAACATAGAGACACACCAAAATTATATTGCCTCCAAAAGTATGCCGCACATAAACGTCATACTCCATCTCACACTTTCTAAATTCCTCGCAGCTTGAAAAATGAATCAATTTTCAAATTCCAAGCTCTAGGAGCTTGTTTCAGTCCATACAACGCTTTATGTAATTTGTACAACACCCCTTTCTGATTCTTTTTCACAAATCCAAGAGGTTGTGACACGTATACCTCTTCTTGTAATAGACTGTTCAGAAATGAAGATTTCACATCCATATGTATCACAGGCCAATTCCTATTTGCAGCTATAGAAATCATCAATCTGATTGTTCCACGTTTAGCTATAGGCGCAAACACTTCAAAGTAATCTAGTCTATATTTATGTAGAAACCTCTAGCTACTAACCTTGCTTTGTGTTTTCCAACTGATCCATCTAGCTTTAACTTTATCTTGAAAATCCATCTGACACTGATGGATTTCTTCTCCTTTAGAAGTTTAGTCAACTCCTAAGTCTTATTTCTTTCTATAGCCTCAAGTTCTTCTATCATGACCTTTGGCCATACTTTCTTCTTGAGAGCTTCTTCAACACTGACTGGTTCCGAGTCTACTAACATGGCACACTGAACGACTTCTCTCTCGGAGTTTACTTTATTATCTTGCAACATGTCAAACTATGCGAATCTCCTTGGTATTTTTCTGATTCTTTATGGCCTTTGGATTTATTTACAATCTCCTTTCGACTCTGGAACCATATCACCTTCTTAACTTCCCTCAGAAGTCCGACCACCTTCAGAAGTATGACCACCAGATGCTGGATCATCATCAGAATCTGGATTAGAATCAGATTCACCGTCAGAATTAGAATCATCTTCTGACTTTGACTTGTCTCCAGAGCCTCCTTCTGACTCTAATTCATCTTCAAAATCTTCAGATTCTAAACTATCTTCAGAAGTTACCTTAGGTGTTAACAGTAAACCAGAATTGAATTGAGGCTTACTCCAATCTTATGCTTCTGACTCCTTCACAATGACGTCTCTTTTAAATTCAAATTTATAAGTGATTGGACAATAAAGCTTGTACGCACCTCTACTGTGGTGCCCCACCAGTAACATCACTTTGCTTTTATCATCCAACTTCTTTCTAGTACCACCTGGAACATGTTTATAGCAAACAGAACCAAATACCCTGAAATGACTCACACTTTGCTTATCACTAGTCCACTTCTCCAAAGGAACAACTTCCTTCAACTTCTTCGTTGGACACTTGTTGAGCACATACGCTGAAGTGGCAACTGTTTCTCCCCACAAAGTGTGAGGCAACTTCTTCTCTTTTAGCATGCTCATTGACATATCAAATAAAGTTTTATTTCTTCTTTCAACAAGATTATTGTGTTGATGAATGTATAGAGTAGTAACCTCATGTTTTATTTCATTCTCCTCATAGAACTTCTCAAACTGTGTATATTTATACTCACCTCCACCGTCCGTTATAGGAACTTTCAACTTGTGACCACTCTATTTCTCAGCCTTCACCTTGAACTTCTAAAACTCAATAAACACCTCATTCTTACACGTAATGAGTGTTATCCATGTCATTCTTTTGAAGGAATCCACAAACGACACAAAATACTTGTTTCGTCCAAGTGAAAGTTTTGGAAATAGTCCACATACATCAAAATGTACTACTCTCAGAGCATGCTTTTCTCCTGGGGCTACTTCTGACGTAAATGGTAATCTAGATTACTTGCCTTTTATGCATACCTCACATGAGTTTTCAGGCTTCACAAACTTCAGAATGTCATGTACTAGCATCTTAGAACTCAGATGCCATAAGCTTCTGAAGTTCAGATGTCCCAATCTCTTGTGTCACATCTTACTATCACCTTCAGCGCCTTCTGTACTAAGGAATTTAGTCTCAGTTATCTCCATATTGACCTTGAATATTTTGTTGCTTTCAAACTAATATTGCATAATCAACTTCTGATTCCAGTCATACAACTTCAAGAGATTGTTCTTCATTGTAACTAAGAAACCTTTCACAATGAGTTGGCCTCCACTCATCAAATTGCTCTTCATACCAGGAACATACCAAACATCTTTGATCAGAACAATTCTTCTATTCTTCACTCTGACTTTGACATTTCCTATACCTTCTGCATTAAGGTACTTATCATCAACACATCTAATCTTTGTCCTCTTTTTAGAATCAAAATCAATCATCCATTATTTGTTTCCAGTCAAGTGATTTGAGTAGATAGTGTCCATATACCATCAGTCTACCAAATATCTACCATCAGACTCAGAAGCCATAAATAGAACATGTTCATAATCAAAATCTCTTCTGGATATATTGGCTTCTTCTGATTTCCATCCCTTGTTTGACCAACAATCTTTAACAAAGTGGACAAATTGTTTGCAGCAGTAACATTGAACCTTCTTCTTGTCAAACTCCGTCTTTCCTTTCTGATGTTTCTTCTCATTAGAATTGGAGGCTTCTGACTTTTGGGAACTACCGCCATGTTTCTTCTTAGTTTCTGACTAAGAATGCTTTTGGTCCTTTCTTGATAAAAGAATATTTCAGAGCCTGCTTAACCTCTCTTTCATAACTTCTCTCAGTCAGACGCAACTCTTGCGCCTCTAGACTGCTTTGCAGCTCTTCAAATCTCTTAGTGTCCAGGTCTTTAGAATGTTCAATCGCTACAACAATATAATCAAATTGAGGAGTAAGAGACCTCAATATCTTCTCAACGATTATTTGTTCTGAAAAAGTTTCTCCACAAGATTTCATCTCATGTGTGATCAAAATCACTCTAGAAATGTAATATGTTACCTTATCGTTGTTCTTCGTGTTGAGATTCTCATACTTCTTACATAGAGATTAAAGTTTCACCTTCTTTAGTGACATATCACTGCCGTAACACAGTGTCAATATATTCCATGCAACCTTCGTTGTCGTTGAATCAACGATTTTCTCAAACACATTTGTATCCACACACTGGTGGATGTAGAACAACGCCATTTAATATTTCTTCCCCGTATCTCTTTGCACGTTTCTCTATTCCTCCGCTGCATCTGCGGCAACCGGAACATAAACTTCGATAACAAGATCAAGAATATCTTAAGCATCGAACAACACACGCATTTGAATCATCCACCGATTCCAATTCTTTCCATCAAACACCACAAGCTTAGTATTCAAACTATTTTCGTCACCCATATTTGTTTTGTACACTGAAACTCAAACTCAGATCTTACGTACACTTGTGTTTCCCTGTGAATTGAATCGGAGCTCTAGATATTAATTTTTGATGCACAAAGGTTTAATATGGAAGAAGAGAGAAAGACGGCTACAAGAAACTTGTTGAGGAAGAAATTCTATATTAACTTCTTACTAAAACCCTAGTTACAAAGTTGTTTAAATAGACAAAATAAACTGCCACGTAAGCCATAACAAAAGACTATGCTTAATAGATAAGCCAACAAAACAAACTAGAACCTCAAAAGTTAAACATACTTCTGGGAGGCAACTTAAGAAGCTTCTGCTTCTAACTAAAACAAATACTTCTGAATATGAATTACTTCTAACAATAACATATAACATTTAAATGATCATCAATAATATATTTCAACAACGACAACAAATAAAGTCGATTTAAAATGACAATATGATAACCTAATATTCAAATAAATCAACCACCAAATTCAACTTGTGATTAAAGATCAAACAACTTGTGTTTAATTATGAGTTTTATTTAAAATTTAATTTGTAAGACTTACAATATGAATCGTTCCATACATTTATTCATGAAGTACAATATTTAAAACTCAAAAAGAATTTGAATCCCTTATATTGATATTATGACCCTTTTGTGTTCCTTTCATCAAGACCATTCCTCGTATCTAAAGGGCGACCATCTCCAACCCTAGACACAACATCATCCTTAGAAGTAGAAGATGGTGCCATTGATGAGAAGAATGGCGGCAAATTATAATAACGAAATCGTTCATTATTATTATTGTGAAGATTACTATTATTATTAGTATTATTGTAAAGACATGTAGTAGCACGCCGAAGATCTTCATCGTCCTTACTACAAAGTACTTGCGCATATTGCATTAGGTTTGGAAACATCTCTTTTTCCGTTGATGACAACGGAGAAAGAGATTTTGGTGGAGCACACTGCGAAGATGAAGATGAAGATGAAATGTTATTTTTATTACGCGTGAGCAATGGATCCGAATCCGGCAAATGAGAAATGAGTTGAGGGAAATTAAGCTTGGCTTTGTTTCCTTTGAACTTCAATGCAGCTTCATCATAAGCAATAGCTGCAGCTTCAGCTGTTTCAAATGTGCCAAGCCATACTCTTGCTCCTTTCTTAGGATCTCTTATTTCAGCTGCCCATTTTCCCCATGGTCTCAGCCTAACTCCTCTATAATGTTTTTTCTTTTCATTACCTTCAAATTATTTTATATATATAAATGGTTAGCAAAATTTTGTCAACTTATATCTAAGTTTCATTATAAATGGAATTTTAAAATATCCGATTAATTGAATATATGTGCACATTGAAACATTTAACATCTTACATATAATAAAAATGGTCAATACTTATGGGAAAAAGAAGAAAAAGTTAGGAGGCATAAAAGCTTGAGATTACATATAATAATTATAATATATATATTGAGGACTTATAATGAAAATCATGTCATTTCAATTTGGACTTTTAAATAATAATAATAATAATAATAATAATAATAATAATAATAATAATAATAATAATAATAATAATAATAATAATAATAATTATTATTATTATTATTATTATTATTATTATTATTATTATTATTATTATTATTATTAAAAATAATAATAATAATAATAATTTATATGCATCAAATGGAGAATTTTGTGAAGAAGAAAAGACTCATTTTCTTAGAGAGATGAAATATCTTTATAAAAACATTAAAAAGAGATGAAAATATATTAATCAATATGTGTAGAAACACTGAGAAAACCTTGATCAAGACATCTCCTAATTATATATATATATATATATATATATATATATATATATATATATATATATATATATATATATATATATATATATATATATATATATATATATATATATATATATATATATATATATATATATATATATATATATATATATATATATATGATTTTTTAAATATAAATAAATATAAAATTAAAATATCCTGATCAAATCAAGATAATTGAGAAATGGAAGAGAATGAAGTGTTAGTTACCTTGATGTGTAGGTTGAGATGGATCTTGTTTCTCCATAAACAAAGATGATGGTGAAGCTTCTTCCTTTTCATCCACCTTGATGTCTCAATCTCTCTCTCTCTCTAAGTTTATGTATATACTGTTTTTTGTTGATGAGCTTTGAATTCCTTGATAAAAGCAGATCTAAGATTTCTCAAAACAGAAGATTAGTGATTTAAAGATGAATGAATGATAATAAAACAACAAAATCAAAAGAGTCAAAAGAGAGATTCTGTTTTGCTTCTTTTAAATAAGAAAGAGATGACAATTAAAAAAAGAGAGGATAATAATGAAATTAAGAAATGAACTAGATATTTTATTTCAATTCATAAAGTACATATTTTATGAACTTATGGATTATAATACGTATATTTAAGTGTTTTTAAAACTAACTAAATCGATGAAACGAGAGTTTCTGCAAAGGAGGGTTAATGTTTTTTTTTTTTTAAAGTTAAAATGATGTCAATGATAATTATTATTTTTATTTATAAAAAGTAATAAACTATAAAATTTAAATAGATTTTAAAAATTAAATTTTAAAAATAATATAAAATAAAAATATCACCAGTTAAATCTTTATTTTTGTTTACTAAAGAAAAGGAAAAAAAATAAGAGACACGTAAAATCAATTTAATTTACAATATTTCTTACCTTAAGTGTTATGGTTTTTTTTTAGAACTTTTTAAATATCGAATCATTGGATTCAATTCGATTTAATATTTGTATAATTTTATTATTAAGATTGGATTATCCGACCAAGCCATTCAACTCAACTAGTGGCTTTCTGGTTCGATCATCGATCTCGTGACCTTATTGAATCAATGATCAAACAAATTTTTAAAATACTATTTTGTTAAGTGAAAATTGATAATTAAAGTATTGTAACCGGTTACAGCGGAAGTGTAATCAGTTACAGTTGGAGGAAAATCACTTATGAGCAAGAAAAATTGAAGTTTCATTGTGGGCGTTGTAGCGGTAAAATCAATGAAGTCTCCACCGAATATTTATTTATTCCACAAAAGAGAAAGGAAAATAATTGAAGAAAAATCTAAAAGAGAAATCAAGGTCTTGCGACCGAGAGATTGAGCAAGGGAATTGATTACGCGAGGGGTAGGTATTAGCATCCCACACGTCTGTAGTACTCTACGAGATCCACTCTTGTTGTTCTAATCAAAGGGTGTATTCAATCTAATGCTTAAGAGTTATAAACTAAGAGGGAATGCATGCAAAGAAAACACGGGGAAAAGAAGGAAATATTTACAAATTTTCACTCGGCCGAGCCCCATGACCAGATGCCTATGTATCCCTTTTAAGGAATCAGAGTGTCGTAGTTTGGCTCACATATTTCGTTTGTTTGTATATTTTAAATGAACAATATTGAATTCAATTATTACACCGTTGCTCGATCTTTGGAGACTTACGACCTGTAGTAGAAAGGAACTAACATGCTCTTAGAAGAGAAAAGTCGAATGGCGAAAAGAAATGGATTGGTTGGTATTTTTTACCATGAAAAGAATTTTTCATGCTTAGCATTTTTTATACATTTGCCAAGAAAAAGAAGTTTTAGTTTTAAATGCAGTTATGCAAAAGAGAAAAGAAATATCTACAGGGATACTAACCTATCTTTAACCTAATGTTATCATACAATAATTGATCCTAAAGTTGAGCTTAAAGGGAAATCTCTACCCTAAGTTGACATGCTTAGATACAGTCCTAATGTCTATCTCAACTCATCATCTATAGATGATTAAAGAATTCCTAAAGGAGCATAGCAAGGGTCTATCATCTCAAAACATACACACAAAGACGAAATCAAACAAGCAGTCCAATAAGCTCAAGAGAGTACACTTAGAGAGATCCCACCTAGGTTAGCATGCCAAATAAAGTCTAACAAACTATCCTATAGGGAACATACAATGAGAGCAAAGTCGTGATCTCAATTTCTAAATTGAGTGACTCATTGATCAACAAGAAATAAAGGAAAGCGATAAAATCCTATAGAGAGCATGCACTGAGAGCGAAGTCATGATCTCAATTTCTAAATTGACGGACTCATCAATCAATAACCAAGGAAACAAACACAAGCACGACACGTATAGCAAATGAAGTGAAGAATGCCTGCTACAGGTCTTTAAACAGCGACTTCGAGCGCATGCTCTTTATTTCCTACTTCTCATGATATCTAGAAAGCAATAAATGTGGAAATATAACTTGGAAGCAGTATAATACCAAACGAACAATAATGTCCGCAAAAAGCATAACCAAATCAAATAAACCCGGAATACTTCGCGCGAGCTAGAATAAACAAACAGTCAAAGATCGAATGCTCGAAAATAGTGTCGGAGCATCATCGATGTGAAAATAAATCAAAATCGGAAATTCCAACACGTCTTCATATCTAACAATGAATCTGCATAAGACTCAACTCAACAAGCAAAAATGAATCACAAGTTTCAAGTATTCGTATAACCATGATTTAATTCCTAAAATCAACTAAAAAAATATAACAAATTTTTACTGACTTTTGTAATTTTCATATCATAAAAAATATAGAAAAAAGTAAGAGAAAAGTCCTAAATACTACGTATAATTTTTTTCTTCTTTTCATCACTAGTCTTTATTGAAGGAGTTGGAAGACAATTTAGACTAAAAGAAAAACTAAAAAACAACTAACAAGAGTCATGGAGGTGCTAATACTGGGTTAGGAGGGTGTAGTATAGTAAATTGAGGCGCAAAGGCCCAAGGAGGCTAAGCCCAAGCGCAACCACTAACCAGATTTTGTTTTTTCATTTCATTATCCTTTGATTAGTTCTTGAATTAAAATGAAATATTAAAAAAAATGAAAAGAGATTTCCATATGACCATGACACGGTACCGTTTTGAGTGGAAATGTTAGGGTTTATCTGTTGTGACTTTTAAGCTCCTACAAACAATGCGAGTTCTTCTTCTTCACTCGTGAACAGCGGCCACCATTCAACCTTATACTTCTCTGATCAACCGAAACTCCGTGCCACTGTAACAAACAGATTCTCTCATCTTTTCCAATCCGTCAATGCGAAACAAAACCTTAACTCCATGCTCTCATCTTCTCTCTCAAACAGAGCCGCGACACTCTCTTTTCTCTGCCTCAAATCCCTCAAAAATCCGCGACGGCTTCCCCTCTCCTCACCTCCTTTTCTCACATTTCTCTGATTATTCATCCTCAAGCTCTTCGTCGAATCATCAACATCAACAAGTCTTCCATATGCCCTTCCTCGGTATGAGATTTGGCGATCATATCATCAATATATACTTCGATTTCCTTATGCATCAGATCATGGAATAGGGTTGTCATAGCCCTCTGGTACGTTGCACCAACGTTCTTTAACCCGAAGGGCATCACTCTGTAACAAAATGTTCCCCAGGGTGTGATAAAGGTTGTTTTTTCCATGTCTTCAGGAGCCATCTTAATTTGATTGTACCCGGAAAAACCGTCCATGAACGAGAACACTTTGAATTTTGATGTGCTATCTACCAACATATCAATATGTGGTAACGGAAAATCATCTTTTGGACTTGCTTCATTTAGTTCTCTATAATCAACGCACATGCGGACTTTTCCGTCTTTCTTAGGTACTGGAACAATATTAGCAATCCATTAAGGATACACTGATGTCACAAGAAAACCAGCATCAATCTGTTTCAAGACCTCTTCTTTAATCTTCACTTCCATATTGGGGTGAGTTCTTCTTAACTTCTGCTTGATGGGCGGGCATTCTGGCTTCAACGGCAGGTGGTGTTCCACAATATCAGTGTCCAACCCAAGCATATCCTGGTAAGACCAAGAAAAAATATCATCATATTCTTTCAGTAGCTCAATCAAATTTATTTTCACGTCGGGATGAAGAAATGCTCCAATATTGACTTCTCTTGGGTCTTCCTCTAATCCCAAGTTAATCACCTCCAACGACTCTTTATATGGTTGAATGGTATTTTCCTCACGCTCAAGCAACCGTGAAACCTCTTCGGTGATTCCATTGTATTCTTCTTCCTCAACTGAATACACGGGATATTCGAAGTTGGGAGAGGGTGCAGGGTCATTGTATTCATTGGGTTTCTTAATTAATCTGCACATATGATTATGATTGATTTTAGAAACTGACCGATGTATAAGTGATTATGCAGATTTTTTAATGACTATCATTTGTTTTGAAAGTTTTTTTTCATTACCATTTTCCAGGAAAAAGAAATAAATAAAACATAATTGGAAAACAAAAATATCTTTTATTAATGATTTGAAAGTCCAAAACAAAAGACATGCACATACAATATCACTTTCACTTTGGGCAGAATGAAAGGATTTTTGGAAAGATGTACAAAAAACAAATTACTTTGAGATGTGGATGCAAGAAGGCACATAAATGGAGATCCAATTATGGACCCCCACTATTCGACATCTCTTGCCTTGGCTCATCCTCAAGGATAACATTGATCTTCGAAGTAGTTGGATGCAGATATCCAGCGTTGTGGAATATGTCTTGATACTTGCCAAAAGCAGAATTTGGCTTCAAAATCTCACGCTTATTATTCTTCACCAAGAAGCCCAGACCAACTCTATTCTTATTCATAGGTGGATCTATAATTTTCCCCCACGCCTTGCTAGGGACATTCTGTACTACCTGTTGAGCATCTTTTAATGAAGCAATAGAATCCTCATTTTCCTTATATTATCGGTCGACAAAGCTTGGAACTGCGTTCCAACAACAGCCTCGTCATCCTCTACAACATTGAAGGAAGATAAATGAGATATTAATAAAGCTTGCTTTCTATTCACGATAACCACCTTCCCTTCTCGGACAAACTTTAACTTATGATGAAGAGTTTACGTAACAGCCCCTGCCTCGTGGATCCATGGTCTTACCAATAGATAGCTGTAAGCGGGAATAATATCCATCACTTGGAAAGTAATTTGGAACATGTGTGGACCAATATGCATAGTAAAGTCCACCTCTCCATTGACGGACTTCCTGGAGCGACAC